GTTGATGCATCTGAAGGGGTAAAACCCATCGGATGCAAGTGGATCTTCAAGAAGAAGACCGACATGGATGGCAACGTGCACACGTATAAGGCACGACTTGTGGCGAAAGGATTCCGTCAGATTCATGGTATTGACTATGATGAGACTTTTTTTCGCCCGTAGTTATGCTGAAGTCCATCAGGATCCTACTTGCCATAGCCGCATATTACTACTATGAGATATGGCAAATGGATGTCAAGACCGCGTTCCTTAACGGGAACTTGACCGAGGATGTGTACATGACATAACCCGAAGGTTTTATCGATCCGAGGAACCCGAGGATGGTGTGCAAGCTTCAGAGGTCCATTTATGGACTGAAGAAGGCTTCAAGGAGCTGGAACCTTCGCTTTGATGAGACAATCAAAAAGTTTGGTTTCTCACAGAACGAAGACGAGCCATGTGTTTATAAGAAGGTCAGTGAGAGCATAGTAGTTTTTCTAGTGCTGTACGTGGATGACATTCTCCTTATAGGGAATGACGTTCCTACCTTGCAAGACGTTAAGTCTTCGCTAGGAACGCAGTTTTCTATGAAGGACCTAGGAGAAGCAGCCTATATTTTAGGCATAAAGTGATACACGCCTCGGCCTCGGAAGTGTTTGTCTCGGATCAGGGATGGAGTCGCAAGCCAATCACCCGCTTCAAGGCGCACTCGAACTCAGCTTGGGACGACAAATGGAAGTGAAGGTGGAGTCAGGGCTAACTCGCAGATCCCGAAGGGGCACTCAAGTCCAGCCACGACAGAAAATGGAAGCGAAGGGGAAATGGGGTCGGAACTCAATCACCGGCACTCTAGCGAGGCTCTCGAACTCAAGTCCGACGAAGTATGGAACGAAATGGATAAGTAGATGGATAGAAACCTCGGACATACCAAGGGTACCTCGGACAAACCAAGGGGTAACTCTCGGACACACCAAGAGAAGATAGGTTTCGGACACACCGAAAGAGAGAGTTGTTTAAACTCGAAAATAATTGATAGATTCAGCAATACTCTCCCTTACATGACAATACAAAGGCCTTTATATAGGCTAGAGATTCAACCATAAATTAAATAAGAAAACACATGCAAAGGGGGTGGGAGCCTATGCATTTAATGGGGTAGTTGGGAAAAAACTAGCTGTTGGAGTTGCTCTTAATGAGGTAGTTGGGAAGAAACTAGCTGTTGAAATTTCCTTGTTGATGAAGGAACTTCCCTTGGATAGTTATCTTGAGAAGGAAGTAAGCTAGGTTATCAAAGTAGAGATGTTGAATGCCTTTGATCAATCCAAGACATATTAAGCTCGTGATTTCGTAACGTAGCTCATGCATCACGTGATGGCTCTCGGACTGGGCATGAGTGTGCGTTGCCTTAGACCAAAGGGACACTCGACTTTCCTTAGACTTTTGATCCAACATGTGAAGGCACTTGAGCTGAGCAGGAATGAGTGTTCGCTGGGAGTGAAGTGGCACTCGAATTGTGTGAAGTGGCACTCGGTTTGCTCCAATCTTTGGTTCGTCGAGCATGTTGTCCATCTTTTGGTTTGGCTGTGTGTCCTTGCCTAGTTGTGCTCCTTCCAATTGTGCTCCATCCATTTGAGCTCCATTGTTCGACTCTTTGTCCGATTGTTCTCCATCTAGTTGTGCTTCACATATGCTCTCGTTACGTTCCTTGTCCATAACCATACCAATGGATCCTAGGAATGCATCATTCCCTCCCTCTTCTGAAGGTTTTGCCCTCAAAACTTGCTTACCTACATCAAACGAATCCAAGTCAGCATCATTAAACACAAAAGAGACATTATACATACCTTGGTCTTGAAGGATGTGTTTGGTATCGTATTGACGCTCCTTAAGTCGGTTGAATTGTTCTTCTTGTATTTCTCCTCTTTCGAATGACTCATCCTTCTTGCTTGTCTGGAGAAGAAAGACAATTGTGCTCCTTGAATTATTCATGATTCGTTGATAAGGGAGTTTGGTTCCATGAGTTCGGATGAGACTTGTTGTACATGTTTGCTTTGCCTCAATCTTCTTTTTGCTAATATACAAAACCTGCAAGCTAATAGTAAAGTCTAGGACAATAAACATGTTAGTGCAGCTTGTGTTCTCATCGAGTTGCTTCTTTTGATCATAAACAAGAATGAAGATTAAAACGAGTTTACCGCGTAAAACTCTTGAAGTAAGGAACACAACCCATATATGTGTTTGAGTCTTGGTGGCGTTGTAATGGCGGATCAAGTTCTCCACATCTGTACACTTTCCCCGTTCGAATGGTGCGTCCTTCTTTGGTGCCATGGGCATTAAAGTGAACATGCTGCTTGGGTGCCCATTGAGTTATTGGCAAGGGATACTCACGACATGCAGAATTTGAGCTTGGAAAATGCACGTAGCTGTCTCTTTTTGCACTTCTTTTACCCTTTCATCAAAATGTAGTACTTGCGAGCAATTAACAAGATCTAGAACAACAATCTCGTTAGTGTAGTATGTGCATCCCTTGAGAACTTTATAGAGGTAATCCGTTTGGAAAGTTTGCATTTGTTGCTCAAGATTCATAACATACTCATCAAAACATGAATCATACACAAGAATAAAAGTAGGAACGAAATTACCGGTTGCTTCAAGTTTTTGACTTATGATGCAAGTGCGGTTGTTGGTGATGTCATTTGTCATCGTCGATTTGCTTACCACCTTGAAGTCATCATCTTCCTTCTTGGACATGATTTTTATTTGCTCAAACCAATCCAATCGTATCATTCCTATGTCCCGTTTGACTTCATTCAAGTTCTCGCCTACTATCATATTCTCCGATTTGTTGGCCTCTTCATTGCTTTCCATCACTTTCTTGTTGTTGGAATCCTCAATGATGTCCTTGACTTCGAATGTATTTTTCTTGATGTCATGCATTTCTTCATTCGCGTCCACAACACTTGTGGGTACTTTTTGAATCAGAGGTCGAGATCTTCGACCGGTTTCTCTTCATTCACGTACTCGGTTACCTTTTTGGACATAACCTCATACTTCTCTTCAAGATTTACCACAGCCTTAACTATGGTGTTAGATGTCCCGCCATCCTCGATGATGATTTTTCGTTGGTTGGGACATTCACGTGCCAAATGATCTTGGTCCCTAAACTTAAAACAAATAACCTCACGTTTATGATTAATACATGAGGAAAACGTTTTGTTACCTAGTGCGGTGACCACCTTTGAAGATATGGTTGATTCCTCCTTGTATCGAGCATCATGATTCTTCGCCTTGTCTTTGTCTTCAATTTTGACAAAGCTATTGCTTATAGGCTTTTGTGCTTGTGTGTGTCCATTCTTTGTCGGGCTTTTGTCCATTTGTTGCTCTATGTGAATCGCCGCATCCACAAGATCATGCAAATCATTATATACCTTTTGTTCTACCTTTCTAACGATTCGGTCTTGCAAGCCATCTAGAAAGTGTGTCATGATTGCTTCTTCGTTGCCATCGATTTCCAAGTAATTGAGAAGCTGTTCAAATTCTCTGAAGTAGCCCTCAACCGTCTTCTTTCCCTGCACTATGTTACGAAACTTATATCGCAATTCACGTAGGAAATGTTGAGGAACATACCTTCTACGCATCAAGATTTTCATCTTCTTCCAAGTTGTGACCGGATCATAACGCGCACGTCGTCGATCGATCTCTTCTCTTTTCCACCAAGTGAAAGCATCTCCTATGAGTTGGCTTTCGGCATATTGCACCTTTCTAAGCTCCGTCCCTTTATAATCTTCAAAAATTTCTTCCATTCGCTTCTCCCATTTGAGATAAGCTTCCGGATTAGTTGTTCCCGAAAATAAAAGAGATCACGGATCGAATTTGTTACCTCGGGTATGTTGAACATATGGCTGTCCACGGATGATCTTTTCTTTCATACCTTCTTCTTCAAAGTGTCCACGATCATGTACCATTCGTTGCTCTTGGCTCGGTTGTGGACGACTATTAACATTACCTTGGTAGATTTGAGCCGCTTGACGTTGTTTTGGTACATTTTCAAGACGAGCGAGTCGTCCTTCAATATCTTGAAGAATTTTCAACATAGCACTCTTGCTTGATCCTTTGTTGGCTGCCACACTCGACATGTTATCAATTAAAGCGTTTCAACAAGATAATGACTACAAAAAGTATGAATTTTCGAATCAAAACAAAACTTGTATCTGATTCAAAATCTGATTTTTTTTAGGTTTCTCTTTCGAAAACGAAATGAAGAACAATAACAAAGATAAGATAAATGATAGATATCACCGGGATTACGACGTCCGTTGGAGGGTTGGCTCTGATACCAAAATGATACACGCTCTGATACCAAAATGATACACGCCTCGGCCTCGGAAGTGTTTGTCTCGGATCAGGGATGGAGTCGCAAGCCAATCACCCGCTTCAAGGAGCACTCGAACTCAGCTTGGGACGACAAATGGAAGTGAAGGTGGAGTCAGGGCTAACTCGCAGATCCCAAAGGGGCACTCAAGTCCAGCCACGACAGAAAATGGAAGCGAAGGGGAAATGGGGTCGGAACTCAATCACCAGCACTCTAGCGAGGCTCTCGAACTCAAGTCCGACGAAGTATGGAACAAAATGGATAAGTAGATGGATAGAAACCTCGGACATACCAAGGGTACCTCGGACAAACCAAGGGGTAACTCTCGGACACACCAAGAGAAGATAGGTTTCGGACACACCGAAAGAGAGAGTTGTTTAAACTCGAAAATACTTGATAGATTCCGCAATACTCTCCCTTACATGACAATACAATGGCCTTTATATAGGCTAGAGATTCAACCATAAATTAAATAAGAAAACACATGCAAAGGGGGTGGGAGCCTATGCATTTAATAGGGTAGTTGGGAAGAAACTAGCTGTTGGAGATGACCTAGCTTACTTCCTTCTCAAGATAACTATCCAAGGGAAGTTCCTTCATCAACAAGGAAATTTCAACAGCTAGTTTCTTCCCAACTACCTCATTAAGAGCAACTCCAACAGCTAGTTTTTTCTCAACTACCCCATTAAATGCATAGGCTCCCACCCCCTTTGCATGTGTTTTCTTATTTAATTTATGGTTGAATCTCTAGCCTATATAAAGGCCATTGTATTGTCATGTAAGGGAGAGTATTGCGGAATCTATCAAGTATTTTCGAGTTTAAACAACTCTCTCTTTCGGTGTGTCCGAAACCTATCTTCTCTTGGTGTGTCCGAGAGTTACCCCTTGGTTTGTCCGAGGTACCCTTGGTATGTCCGAGGTTTCTATCCATCTACTTATCCATTTTGTTCCATACTTCGTCGGACTTGAGTTCGAGAGCCTCGCTAGAGTGCTGGTGATTGAGTTCCGACCCCATTTCCCCTTCGCTTCCATTTTCTGTCGTGGCTGGACTTGAGTGCCCCTTTGGGATCTGCGAGTTAGCCCTGACTCCACCTTCACTTCCATTTGTCGTCCCAAGCTGAGTTCGAGTGCTCCTTGAAGCGGGTGATTGGCTTGCGACTCCATCCCTGATCCGAGACAAACACTTCCGAGGCCGAGGCGTGTATCATTTTGGTATCAGAGCGTGTATCATTTTGGTATCAGAGCCAACCCTCCAACGGACGTCGTAATCCCGGTGATATCTATCATTTATCTTATCTTTGTTATTGTTCTTCATTTCGTTTTCGAAAGAGAAACCTAAAAAAAATCAGATTTTGAATCAGATACAAGTTTTGTTTTGATTCGAAAATTCATACTTTTTGTAGTCATTATCTTGTTGAAACGCTTTAATTGATAACATGTCGAGTGTGGCAGCCAACAAAGGATCAAGCAAGAGTGCTAT